GCAATAACTCAGCAAGGCCTGAGGTCAAGACAGCAGTCAATTGACTCGTTCCTTCTCTCCCAAACATATAGCAACAACAGAAAAAAAAATGTCACAAGGCTAAGGGCGTGGACGGGCTCAGAAACCCCGTACCAGAACAGCACAGCACTGGAAGCCTGTGGTGGGAAAGCCACATTGCCTGCCAGGTCTGCATCGGGGCTGGGGGCCGGGGGCTGGCTGTGGAGGGGCGCCAAGAGCTAAACGTGCTCCCTGTGAGTGGGGACCCAGAGCCGGGCCCAGTGCTCTGAAAATGCATGGCTTTTCAGGGGAAACAGGAAAGAGAAAAGGGTGGGGGTGGAGGGGCCAGCCAGTGTTTACACAGTGCGATCTACGTGCCAGGCTCTGTCCCTGGGACATTCCGTGCACACCAGCGCGTTGCATCCTTGCTGCACACTGTGAAGTAGGTACTATTATTATCCCCATTTCGCAGATGAGGAAACTGAGGCATAGAAAATCTGAGCAACTTGTCCAAGGCCACCCAGCGATTAGGTAGAGAAACCAGGATTCGTATCTGGCTCCTGAGGCCCTCCTTCTAACCACCACGCTGTACTATCTGAAAGGAAGAAAAGACAGAGAGAGAGAAGCAGGCAAGAAAGAAAAAGGACAAGGCCGAAAACGCAGAGGACACACCAGCGGCTTGCCCAAAGTCACACAGCAGTGAGACAGACAGCAGAGCTGGGAACCCAGCCCAGTGTTCTCCGATTCCACCACGCTGAAATGACTTCAACCGGAAATGAAAGCCGGTTGAAGGGGGGACCCAATTAACCTTCAGAGTAGCCTTGCTCAACCTCAGATTTTTATTATTTCTTCGTATTCTGAGACAAATTAGCCACGGAGGGCCAGGCTTTGTTGAGGTGGGGACCAAAGAGCAAAGTCCTCAGCCACATCACAGCGTGCCTGACCTTTCCCGGGCTCGGCCACCAACTGGAAAACGGGACGGGACAGACCAAAGATCCTCTAGCAGAAGCCCACCGGATGACGCTGCCTGTGGCTGGCATTTAAAAAAATTGAGTTTATTGACTGCCAACTTATAAACAGCAGGAAATTTCAGATAAAAAATCTGAATTTCTGGTGTCTCTTGGGAAAAAAAAAAAAATTGCAGCGCCTGGATGGCTCAGTTGGTCAAACGTCTGACTTCAGCTCAGGTCATGATCTCACAGTTCATGAGTTCGAGCCCTGCGTCGTGCTCTCTGCTGTCAGCACAGAGCCTGCTTCAGATCCTCTGTCCCCCGTCTCTCTGCCCCTCTCCGGCTCCCTTGCACACGCTCTCTCTCTCTCTCTCTCAGAAATAAACAAACATTAAGAAAAGAAAAAAAATTAGAAGATTTGGCAACGCTGAGCTTGTGTTCTCACTTGGCAACAATGGATGGAGCTGAGAGGGGGCCGCCCCCTCCAGATGAGGCCTCTCCATCATGGTCCGCAACACTGACCCCCCACCCCCCGCCCCCCGGCCGCCTGCTTAATCATTCAGGATGTCTGAGTGGTTCCTACGGGCATCAGAATACGCTACCCGTGGAGAAACCTGCATAACATCCCTCTGGCCCTGGATAACTCTGTATTGACTGAATATTCAACAAAACATACACCATCAGCATACGTCTAAATAATAAACTCATAGAAAAACTATGGAAGGGCGGAGTGGTACTTACAATGTAGTGTTTTGTTGTTATTCACACTGATGTTTATCTAAGCCTTGACTTTTCCCACAAACTATCTGAGACGGATTCAAGAAAACACTGAACATATATGCATGGAGAACGATCCAGAAATGTAGCAGACGGCTCACTGCTTCCCAGAAGGAAGTCTCCCCTTCTTCCTTGTAACAGAGACCTGTAAAATGGTCCTGCCTCCTGGGAAAAAACTACAGCTGCCCTTGCAGGTTGGTGAATCAACATGACTAAATTCTAGCCAATTCTGAAGGCGCTGGTCTGATTTCTCCGAAGACTCCCTAAAAGGCAGGGAGTTAACTCTTTTTCCATCCTTCTCCCTTCCGGCATCCCTGGAATGTAGGCAACATGGCTGCACCCCCAGCAGCCATCTTGGGCCATGAAGTGACCTCGAGGTCATTCTAGAAGCCACATTAAGATGACAGCAGAGTGGAAAGACAGAAGCCTGGGGTCCCTGATGATTTCATGGCGCCATTGTATCAGACCTGTACTGCCTACCTCCAGGTTTCTTTTATGTGAGAGAATAATCCCTTGCATGTTTAAGCCATTGTTACTTCTAGAATCTCTGGTCTGCAATTTCCAATGCTACAGAATGAAATACTCTTTTTTTTAATGTTTATTTTTGAGAGAGAGAGAGAGAGAGAGAAAGGGTTTGAGCAGAGAAGAGGTAGAGATAGAGGGAGACACAAAATCTGAAGCAGGCTCCAGGCTCCGAGCTGTCAGCACAGAGGCTCGAACTCACAAAACGTGAGATCATGACCTGAACCGAGTCAGATACTTAACCAAATGAGCCACCCAGGTGCCCCCAGAAGGAAATATTATATGCTCAAATCTTTCCAGATGCTACGATCACTGGGTTATTAGAGTACAGACACTTTTTCTTCTCTTTTCCAAAATTCATAATAATAATAATAAATATTTTTATTAGGGGAAAAAAGCTTTAAAATAGCAACTAACAAAATCTTAAGAAATTAAGACCATCTAGACAAGAAAAACACCTCTTCAATGTACACGATTATGTACGGGAGCAAGCCTAGAAATGGACCTGAGCTTTCTGAGTGCGAA